ACTCAGGACACTAATAACTTCACTAGAGGGATATTGATTACCACTCAAGACACGAATATCTTCACTAGAGGGATATTGATTACCACTCAGGAAACTTATAGTTACTCCACTAGAGGGATATTGATTACCACTCAGGAAACTAATTACTTCACTAGAGGGATATTGATTACCACTCAGGACACTATAATTACTTCAGGTATCCGTTTTACAAGATACAACTCAATCTCGAACTCAAGGTTCCTTAATAATACCAATTAGCCAATATCAATCCAGAAATGACTATCTGTATTCTTAAGTATCTGTTTTACAAGATACAACTCAATCCGGGACCCCAGGTTCTTCTCTCGTTTTGGCTAAAAAGCGAGGAACAAATTACTCTCACACCTTAAACAATGCTGAGTATTATTCAAACTAACTATATTTTTAGTTCTATGATACAGGTTAATGAACATAATTACAAGTTTTATGTCGTTTTAAAGAATGTAATTACAAATGTTACATAGTTACAAGTTTTATGTAGCTATTTACAAGCGTAGCTAGTTGGATTACAGACAAATTAATGTACATCGAAATATATACATGTATGTTCAGGTTTATAGATATAGGGTTTACTATGATATTTATTACATAAGGAATCATCAGAATAAATCAATTGTAACCCCAGGAAAACGACAGTATCTTCCACATTATTAATCAGATAAAGGTTTCAAGGGTACTGTTGTGAATCGGGTATTGTCGTCTTTGCATAGAGAGTCACTTTACTGAAGCTAATAAGCTTTTCTTCTAGCATTACAAATTTAGAATCAAAGCAAAAAATAATTTTTTTCAGTTTATTCTTCGTCTAGTATTTCATGTAGTTCTTTATTAAAACGTGTAAAACATATCATTAATATTATATAATTATAATAATAATTTCATATAGATAATAGATATATAATTAAGAAAGAAATTGGCTTTTTTTAAAGCATAGTAATAAATTCTTTATATAATTGATTATTACATATAAAATTTATAATTGGTTTCATTTCACTTTTACTATATGCATTGAAAGCTCTTTTTTCCTTATTTAATATTAAATTCTTTAATTATGTATATTTTATAATTATATATACATACAGGGTGTCCCACATCATATGAGATCGTCCATTGGTCTAAATTACGATTTTCGGAATGATCAGAAAATTTAAGAAGAATTAATCGTTTTGAAAAATTGAATAATCTAATCTAATAATAATTTATTTTTCCGTTGAAAATATGACAGGTTGTGCATAAAAAATACATATTTATATGATTTCTATTAATTATCAACGGAAGGAGAGCAGCCATAGCAGAGCTGTTTTCAGGTTGGTCTCCTGGCAGTTTACCGTGGTATCAATTAGAACTGAATTGATGTGATACGTCGTGGGACTGGGTTTGGAGAAGACGGAGGAACAGGGTCAGATTTGCTCAATTAACATGTTATAAATTTGGTTCTTTATTTAAGACAGTAGGCAGAAAACAGGTTAATGTAAGAATTTTCTTGTGGAAAATGCGAGGTTTCTGAGTTAAAACTTGGAGATAAACTAATTTGATATGGGACGCTCTGTATGATAAAATATTTGCTTAAAAATGTATTGTGTCAGCTGTTGATAAAAAGGGCTATATGATTATCTATACAGAGCGACCCATATCATATTAGATTATCTCCAATCTTAAACGCCAAAATAAGCACAAAATACTAAAAAATCTAGCATTTTCTGCAAAAAAAAATATATTAGCCTTATTAAATTTTTAAAATGGATTCATTCTTCTTAAATTTTCTGATTTATCCCCAAAATTGTGGACGCGGTCTAATTTGATGTGGGACACCCTGTATATACCTCAAATTGTGTGTTTGGATGTCCGATAATAACTCATAAACCCCTACACCGATTTGTCTCAAATTTCGTTGAGGGAACTCGGCAGAACCACGGGAAAGTTCTTAGTTCTGTTTTGATATTGTAAGTAGAGTGGATCGTAATTTCAAACTATAAGTGCGTGTAAACGGGCCACGGCGGGCGTGACTATAGAGTAACCTGGCAGCGCGGCGCCGGGTTCCCAAGCTATAGTTCAAAATTAAATCAAACTGATATTTTAGGAGGAAATAAAATTAGGGTTTCCACCGGAATTCCGGGTTACGGTTTACGTACGGAAATGATCCGGAAATTTTTTCCATTTCCATTATTGAAAAGGTTCCGGAAAACCGGAATTCCGGAACGATTTCCGGAACGATTTTTTTCCATAAAACGGAAATTTCCGGAACGTTCCGGAATATCGTTCCGGAAATTTTCCGGAAAATCGTTCCAGAATTTTCCGGTTTCCGGAACAAAATTTTACGGTTTCCATTCCGTAAAACGGAAATTTTTCCGGTTTACGTGACGTAAACCGGAAAATTTCCGGTTTCCATTTATATACCGGAATTATCCCGGAATTCCGGTATAGGCAACAAATTTCCGGATCATTCCATTTCCAAAATGGAAATTTTTTTCCGGAAAAATGGAAACCCTAAATAAAATACAGCTGTTTGTCAATTGCATTGAAGAAGTTGTATTGAAATTTTTAAAATTTATTTAACAGCCCAAATATTATTTTTGTTAGTTAAATTTGTTGTGTCTTTTGTAATAAAAAAAATCAACTATGATTTCTTAAAACTTATTTCACCAGATTATCTCCCAGCTTTAACGCCAAAATACATACGCCACATTTAATGCTAAAATTTTTATATTTGGTCTACACAATTTTTGGAAATTATTCATTTTTTAATTATCTTACTATTAGCCGTTCAAACTAGAACTGCAATTATAGTTTAAATGAGCCAAAAAAAAATAGATAGTCCAAATGAGTCAAAAAAAATAGTTCAAATGACGCAAAAATAATTCAAATGAGCCAAATAACAGTTAAAGTGAGCCAAATAATAGTTCAAATGAGCAAAAAAAAAGCATATTTCAAATGAGCAAAAAAATAGCTCTGCAAAAGAACAAAAAATATATAGTTAAAATCATGGCTAAAAAATAGCTGCTCATTAATGAACTATCTTTTTGATTCATTTTAAAATAAATTTATGCTCATTTGAATTTTATTTTTGCTTATTTGAACTATATTGTTTAATGTTTTGCTCAATTGAACTATTTTTTGGTTCATTTGAATTATTTCTTTTTTGCTCATCTGAAAGATATTTTTTGAACTGCTTTTTTTTCTCATTTGAACTAATAAATGCTTCATTAGAACTATTTTTGGTCTTTTAAATTATTTTTATGCCCATATGTGAAATATTTTGTGATCATATGATGTTAACTATTTTGTGGTGATTGTTTGACATATATATTTTTTCATTTTAAATATAAAATTTTAAACTGCATTATATTTAATAGTTCAAATGAGTAAATAATGTGTTAATTGAAATACAGGAAATGCAACGTTATCATCATTAGTTAGAATGAACAATAGTTCAAACGATCAAAAGTTCAGACGGCAGTATAGTATAGTTCAAATGCGGATCCACCCTAATAATATGAAATGGGACACTCTGTATATTAAGTTCGATTTCTAAGACGACTAAGCACGAGTTCAATTGCCGCGGCATATTTAATTTATTCTTGGATCATCACGGCTCACACTTCTTTATTTGTAAACAACTAAAATTGGCAACGTCGTAATTTACGTAATTTTACCCTTATACCTTATAAAATTTAATAAAAGGGGATATTCGGGTTGGGAATGGGGGCGGCGCCCCTTCCTTAGACTTCTCTTAGTGAGAGGGGACTAGACAATTTGTTTTATTCTCTTGAAATGAAGAACACCAAAAAATAATTTTCCTTTCTCTGGGTGGATATTTATATGATTACAATTCAATAATAGTTTAGATAGCCTGTGTATTTTTTGAGTCTGGTAATTTCCTAGTATACGATTTTTGGACCCACCACATGAGCAAGGTATATTCATAGAGAACGATTTTCGGACCCCTCCCCTGCCAACCCCACAGGCTCCTCCCCCCCTCAATTTTGTACATGGATCTCAAAAATCGTTCTCTAGGAAATTACCAATCTGTTAGTCTAATTCTTAGATATTATAAAATGATAATAATAATTTTGCTGTAAAATAAGTGGTCATGTGCAAAATTGAAAGGGGGGGGGGTTCAAAAATCGTTCTCCAGGACAGGCTCTGGCCCTGCTCCCTCTCCTACCAATTTAGTACATAGAGCTCATATTGTTAGCATCAGGTTCCCGGAAACCCTTCAACCGGGTTCGACATCTAGTTATCATGAATAGAACAAAACCTGGGCGGATTTAACAGACAACCCCAGGCGTTTTATAAAATGAATATCGCGAGGGGAAGTGGGTGAATTCGATTGTTGGCCAGAACACCTTCAGCGATTCACTTTCAATTTACTAATTAATGGTCAAAGTTGAATATGTCACCGCAGCGCTCGGCCCACGACCCTGTCATAACCTCAGCGCTCGGCTCAGTAATTGATTTAATCTAACCTAACCCATGATTAAAAATAACTATTATTAATTTTGTTAAATAAATAGTTAAAATCAAGGTCATGTACAAAATTTATAGGATGACCCGATTGTTGAATGTGATGCATGTTTTTTTATTTCTCTATTTTCAGGAATATAATGGCTGATTTAAAAGAGTAATATTAACTATCAGTTAAATTTTCATGATGCGAGGCCGAAAGAAAAAGATTCCTGGTGCTGTGGAGCAGACTAAACCTGAAACTGTCGGGAAAAAAACTAAACCTGAACCTGTCGGGAAAAAACTTAAACCTAAACCTGTGATATCAGTTGAACCTCAAGATGAATTTGTGAACAGGTTAAACCATTAACACATCATTTAACATGGATAAACTTTTTTAATGCATTTTTTCTAATATTAAGTTTATAGGTATTTTATTTCCATGGAAAATTATTTAATCCCCACCCTCTTAAAATAGTATGGTACAGGTTTTTTTTTCTAAATTGCGGAATATCAATTTTTGGTGGGGGGGGGGGGCGTACCTTCTGTCCAAATTTTCATTTATATACCCTTGATTAAATATTTAATATATATTAATGTAATTGTTGAAATTTAGATAATTGAATTTAGTATTCGAATTAATTAAAGAATTTGTTTAGCCCAACTCCAAGTATAGCTGGGAACACGGTTTCAGATCCAGGATCCTTAAAGTTCAATTCAGCTCCGTCCAACGGTTCAGCTCCATCCAACGGTCCTGCTCAATCTAGCGGTTTAGCTCAATCCAACGGTTTAGCTCAGCGTTTTCCTAAGAAAGAAAACCTTGCTGAAATCCTGATCAGATTTGAAACTGCTCAAACACAGATAGCCGAGCTGAGATTCAAAAACCGGAAGTTGGAAGAGATTATTTCTGGTTCCGGTTCCCAAGTTAAGGAACTGGAGGAAAGTTTGAAGCAGTATAAGACAATGAAGAGTTATAATGAGATCATTGCAGAAGAGGAATTTCAGGAAGGGGTTATATTTTTTTCAAATTTACCCCCCCCCCTTTTAAAGCCTTATCAAAAACAATGTTTCTTGAAATATGTTTACAAGTATCGCAGTATTTTCTTTTCATAGGGGGGGGGGGGGAGTGAAAGACAAATATTGATTTTACCCAATAAAAGAGTTGTTTTTTGGTACAATTCCACCATACCTACCCCTCCCCATATCTTTGTAATCTACGTCTCTATGAATATACAACCTTTTGGTTCTAGTCTAAGCTGCTTGAAGCTGAAACGGAAAAAGAAACGGCGATCAAATCTCTAAATCTTGAAGTTGATCAGCTGACGAGGGAAAACGAAATTCTGAAAACAGATTTATTAAATTCTGCGTCAGAGGTAAATTATAAATTATTATATATTCTTCGTTAAAAGTAAATTATAAATTAATCAACTCTGCGTCAGAGGAAAATTATAAATTATTATATTCTTCGTTAAAAGTAAATTTTAAATTAATGAAATCTGCTTTAGAGGTAATTATAAATTATAAAATCAATTAGATCGTGGATAAATTATAAAAGCATGCACTGTACATTGTATACTGTACAGTGTACTGAATACTGTACAGGGTTACCCGCTAAGAATGAGATTTCGGTGATAACTTTACGGCGTACGTATTGCCTAGTTAGTTTGTTTATATGTACACGACTATTTTTAGGGCATTGAATAAATAAAACCTTAAAATTGTTTCGTAAAAAGAGTTTTTCATTAAGTCTAATCCTTTGTGGGTTATTCTTTATTATAATTAAGAAACAAGAAAATAATAAAATAAAATGTCTGATATCAACATTGTCTATTTTATTTTATTATCCTTTTCCTCTCCTAATACTCATTTCATTCCTTAAAAAATCTTTTAATAATGTTCTTCCTTGAATTTTTAATTTTTTTTACAACATTTTTTATTTTTAAAGACTTCTTTTGGACAATTAGTATTTTTATTATTTAGTTTTAAATTATTCCAGAAAGAATTTGAATCCGTGCAGTCAAAAGGAGGAAAGGGGAGAAAGAACTCAATTGATAATCTGAAATCGAACAAGATACTGATCAAACTGAACAGCGAGAACTACACAATGAAGAGGAACCTGGAGGAGATGAAGGAGGATCTTAAGAGGGAGAAGAAGGAGAAGGAGGAACTAAATATCCAAATATCTGCTCTTCAGTCCAAACTAAACACAGAGAGGAATCTGTGTATCCAGCTGAAAACTGCCCAGAGTGTTGCCGAGAACAATGAGAAGGTTCAAGTTCAAGATTTAAAACAAACCATTCAAGTTCTGGAAGAGTCGAGACGGGCTGAAACGGAAAAACTCCGACAACAGATGAAGAAGGAAAAGGAGAAGTTTACAAAGGAGAAGGATAAACTAGAAACTGAACAACGTCAGCAGATTGAACTCTATAAGAATCTTGAGAAACAATTAAACTTATCAACAGAAGCGAAGCAAGAGGCTGAATCTTCCCTGAGGATTCAGCTAGAATCCAACAAGAAGATGGCTCTGATCAACCAGATGGGCCGGGAGAAGACGGAGAAGTTCACAAACCTCGAGAAGGAGTTGAGGTTGTCCAGGGAGGAGAACAAGGTGATGGAACTGCTGAGAAAGAAGGCTGAGGAGAGGCTGCAGAGGATGGAACATGACCTCAGTAAAGCAGGGGAGGTTAAGACGAGGCTGGAAAAGGAACTGGTGGTGGTGCGTAGAGAGAATTTTCACCGAAATACATTGTTGCAAGAAGTTCGGGTACAAATGTCAAAGTTTGAATCAAATCTCACGTAAGTAAATAATTATAATTAAGCAATTTTAGATTAACATCTGAATACCCCCTTGAAACTTTTGTCCAAACTAAAATGATGGAGCCATCCTTGTTTTGTTTAATAATTACCACAATATAGTTCTCAGATGCAGGTTTAAAAGATAAAATCGTGAATCAGGAAAGGAACTTTTTAGTAGAAATGTCACTGCAAATAACGTTGACAGTCCCTTTAAATAAAAAAATATTAAAGTTGATACCGCTAAGAGAAAAGGAGAGGAAAGAAGGAACGAAATAGAAAAAGCTAAAGAGAGAGAGAGAGAGAGAGACAGAGAGAGACAAATTGTTAAAGAATATTGTTGACAGAGAAGTTAATAAATCAAATTTAAAAACGAAAATAATCATTTGGTTTGAATTTAGGGATGTCCCTTCAAAACAGAAAATATAGAATTAAGGAATTTTGAAAATCTTAAATGAAAGCAGTAAAATTTATTAAGTTCTTTTTATAATGCACAAAAAAATGGTTGCAGCTTTACTATATTTTTGATAAATTTTGGAAAAGGGGGAAAAAATAATAAGTTTGCGCAAGCATATATAACTTCGGGGGGGGGGGGAAGAAGAAAGATTTTTTTGAGAAAATATTCATCCTGAATGTATTTTGAACAAAGGAAAAATCTTCTGTCTGTAGAGAACGGGATTAATGTTCAGGAAGTCAGAAGAAAAGAACTCCGAGCTCCAGGATAACCTGGAGATAGTTAACCAGGAGAACCTGAACCTGCATCAGAAACTGGAAACCAGTCTCAAGGAAACCTTGGCTTTGGTTGAGGAAAAAGCAGCTTTGCTAACGGGTAAGTTTCCCCAAATAACTTTCTTGTTTACTAAATTTTGGGCATTACGTTAGTTAAAAATATTCTATCGGAAATTAATCCACTTCCAATACAACTATTTTTGTTAATTTTTAATTTTTGAAATGTTCTTAATTTTGTTCTGAAGTTTTGACAAAATTTTCAGAAAAATCTTGAATTTAAGAACAGCATTCTTAATTCTTTTTGGGGCAAGGGGCTATTTATGTAAAGAGGGTTTACCCTCTCAAGACATAAAGTTTGTGCTCAGAGATGAAATTAATTATTTGCTAAAGATGGGTCAATCTGAGTTCAAAATGTAAAAAATCAAAATCCAGGACCTAGTGAATCCTGAGAAAATTGAAGTTTAAGATATGGAGAAATTCAGGTTTCAGTCCTGATTTCACAGATACTTAAAGTTCAATATATTCTCACACCACTGTTTTAGGATAAATTGTTTTTTCTCCTTGTAATCTAAAATGTTGTTAGCTTAGAGCAGAAACTGCTATTCATAGTCGTTTTAGATGAAATATCTAATTTTATGACACCTCCAAATACGACAAAAATATTAAGGGGTGCACTTATTGCAGTGCTTAGGATCCATTTAATCCTGGATCCGCACCGGATCCAGGTCATTTCTTTCAGATTTACTGAATTTTTGTATCAAAAAATAATTTAAAAATTTTTGTTTTATTTTTTTCCTAAAACTTTGTGAACCATTTAGAAATGAGGAAATTTTTATGATCTCTCTTTATTTCGAAAGTTCAGATTTGGGTTTTAGGAGTAAAAGTTTTTTTTTGCAGTTTTTGGTTGATATTTTACCCCTTGGATCCGCATATTTTTGCGGATCCAGATCCAGGAAGCCAAAATCTTGCAGATCCAAGCACTGCACTGATATATGTTTGTTCAAAAATAGTCCTGTGTGATCATATTGAACGTGTGGGTATATATTCTTAAAGAATTATTTTCCCTCTCTCTTGAATGTCATAATTCCCCCCCCAGCCCCCCCCCCCCTCTCCGGCTAATTTGCGAAATGTATATAATTTTTATTTTTTTCCATAATCTTACAAATTATTTTTTCCCAATCTTGAAATTATGAACTCGTTATGATTATAATGATTATCATATTCCTAGAAGTAAGAACAATGTCTGAACTGCAGAAGAAGTATTCAAGGTTGAAAGATACACTGGCAAGGTTCGTCTTATTTGGGTTAAGTTTTCTTTTAAATTCATTTTTTTTGACCTTATGGTTGCATTCGAAACTTATGATTTGGGATTCCTTTATTTCATTCTATGAAATCTATGTGTAACATTTTGATTTTTGACACATTTCTTTTGATTGTATGTTATTTGAACATACTATTCTTCAAAATCAATGGTGATTAAGTATGTTTGAATCTGTACCTATAAACTAAGATTGTTAATGCTTTTAAATGGTATATTAAGGATTTTTTTTACAACAAATTTCAATTTCTATAAATCCACGAAAGTTGCCTATTTTAAATATTTATATATATATATATATATAATAAATATATTCTGAAATATAATAAAACTGATCGTAATGGAGAAGAAGTTTTATTAAATTAAAACTGTTTAAGGTATGTTGAGAAGCATAAAGCATGTAGAGAAAAGCATGGTCCGATCATTACAAAAGCTCCAACTAGTGTTCAGGAATTTTAATATTTAGAAACTTAACTGAAAATTACATAAAAGTTGTTGCACAAAACTTTAAAGTTTCGAAATCAGTCTAAATAATGTTTCTAAATTTTTGAAATTAAGAGCAAAGATCTAAATGATCTCTTGGAGAAAGTTAGACCTGTTGTTCAAGCTCTCCAACAAGGTCCGAACCCAGAGAAGCAGATGTCAACAACCCAAACCCATATCTCCATGGAGACAACTAATGCCACCAGGGATCCAAGAAAGGTGGCTCGCACAAGAAGCGCTGAAATAGCTAATAGCTCCAATCTAGTCGACTCCTCCAGTACTATCTACCACCCTGAGTCAAGTAGGTCCAACTCCCCCTACGATCCTGCCGAAGGTATTGATGAGAACCTAACTGGTTCTGAACCTATTAGAATTAAACCTCTGCCTGCGTATCGCCTGTATCCTGAGGTTCAAGATGAACCTCCTCCTCCTCCCGCCATATTTATGAATACAAACATTTACAATCAGGGAACAGGATACAGAGATACAAACACACAGGAAGTACGAAGAGTACCCGTTCCAGCTACCGGTCATATTCTGCCAGTAGGAAATGCGCCAATCTCAATCCCTGGCCCAGCCGGATCAAGTTATGCCGCTGCCGCAGCGGCCGCCAGCGCTAGCTTTGCCGCTGAAACCAATTATCCCCTAGTTCCTGTAGTGGATACGAACTACCCGACGGAGCAGGAGATTCTCGGGGCAAGGTTCAGGGAGGCAGACGGTATGTTACAGGCCTGGATTCAGAGGATGGCAACAGGGTCCAGGTATAGATAATGGATTAAACTAAGTATTAAAACTCTTCGCTCATCTATATAATATATTGCTGGCCAATCGGCTGTACCAAATTGGCTGATTTTTTTTATGAAACCCATGGGTTGGGTACTCTTTGGGGACCCTAACATGCTAAAAAAATCATTTTTATAAATTAAAATTTGTTTACTTAATCTTTAATTAAAAACAAAAATTCCGAGGACATCGCGGGCACTTCAGCTAGTTACAAATAAAAAAAGTATTTTTCACTTACACTAAAGACAGTAAAAAAAAATAGAAGAAAATCGCCAACTTGTGGGCGTGTGGTTTCGATTTCTTAACTTGAATGGAATTGGATTGGATTGTCTGATTATCGAAAAGATTTTATTTAGAGAAAAAAAGGACACCAACTTCTGAGATTTTTCATAATTTTTTTAACTAGTGTTTTGAGAAAACGGAGTAACAAATGAGTGAAAACACATTAAAAAAAGAAAATTAACACTTTTGTTTTGTCATAATTTCATTGTTACTTAACAGAAGTGTAGAACAGATTTCAACTCTATCAACAACTGGTCAGGAAAAAACAATTTTCTTCAGATCGTTTTTAAAAGTATGATCTATAGAAATCTATGGTAACGATAAAACTAATCCAGCGGACATTAGTTCCAAAACTAACACTTGACCCATCTCTGAAACTGAGTGTTAGAGTATCCACAAAAAAAGTCGATAATAAAAACTATGATCAACATTTTATTAAACATGACGAGGACAACAATTCCTAATTTAAACTTTTTTTTAAATCAAAACTATAATAGGAGTTCTTTTTATATTAAATCTCTTGACCGTTAATAAGACATTGTCAGGTTTTCCATTTTCGAACATATCCTGAATTTGAAACATTGTCGCGTTTTCGAGACAAAACCCACTTTCCCGTTTTTAGTATAATCCGCAATTCAAAACAAAACTCACTTTCATAACTTACAAAATGAATCACTGAAAACAAAAATTATCTTATGAAGACTAAATTAACTTTTGAATTATTTCTAGAATCTAAGTTTCCACATTTTATTTGTTAAAGTAGAGAATATGGATAATTTATTTTCAAGCATTTTAAACAAACAGATTCCCGCATTTCTAGTTAAATCTACATTGTAAAAACAAATAATATTAATATTATGATTTATAAATGCTGTAATGATTTTTAAATTATAAAAGAACAGTTTAAGTTTTTATTTTCTATTTTGTTTATATTTTTCCTTATCAAAAATCTTGTTTTGTTAAGTAAGTGCGTAAATGCTTAAACATTGACATTGATATGAATTCCTGTAAATGTAATAATCTCAAAACCAGGATATGTTCCGAAAACTCGACATTACTTAAATCCGGTAATTGTTTCAAAATAGGGATATGTTTAAAAATGAAATCAAGAATCATCTAAAAATAATTTGCACATCATATTATTAGTTTAAAATAGACCATAATTATCAATATAGTATTAGCCATTTTTTATAAATTTAAGTGTCAGTCTTGGAACTAATATCCCCTGTAATTTGGGGAATTGAAAAACCGGGGGAATTTAATTTTGATTTAACTAAAGTAGTAATAGTCTATGTTTCAGTGGACCTCCAAGCCGACCTCCCAGCGTTGAGATATGCCTGGATGGACCTGACGGAAGGAATGAAGAAGACGCCATTATTGTTCTCTCCGACAACGAGGGATCCAGGAGAAGAAAATCGAGAAAATCCGCGGAAACCCATAGAAGCAAGAGGAAGAAGAGAACTAGGTTAGATAAAAGTTTGTATTAAACAACGAACAATTTTTCAAAGACTCATTAGACTTTTTAAACGTGGCATTTGTTAATTAAGGTTGTTATATCGGTTTTTTTATACAAAATTAGAATGAGAAAAATACCAATTTTGAAAGGTTTGAGACTTAAATCTTTAATTTCGATATATGTTTTTATATCATCTTCAGTCCTTCAGAAAATTACCAAAATAATTACAATGCATGGTGAAAAAATAATAACAATTAAAATTTAAAAATGGAATAGATAGATTATATTTAACCTCTTAATTCTGAAAAGTTATTTAATTTATCCTCTTTAAGGTTTGAAGATAAAAAGAAATATTAGAATTAATCTACATAATAAAGCTCTTCGCTCATTTATATATAACTGTATATTTGTACATAAATATGTTGCTATAGTTGGCCAAACGGCCATTATTTTAGCCATTGTTACCGGGGGGGTAACAATTGCTAAAATAATGGATTTTTTCTTTTTCAAAATTGTTTTTTTTTATTAGATTTTCTAATAATTCCACGAGAAATCCAGGCACTTCAGTTAGTAAAAATAATTTTTAAATTCCAAAAATACCTGAATACGGAAAAGAAACTATGATCAGAACAATTGGGTTTTTAATGTGCATCAGGTTTCATTAAATCCCCCAAATTTTCGTTTGCTTAAAAAAAAGCTGTTATTGAACCCTGCAAAGTTATCATCAAAACTCCTTAGCACCCAAGATTTTACCCAGAATATTAAAAAAAAGCTGGACTTCAAATATTCGGATATGAACAATGAACATTAGCAACAAGTAAGATGCATTGAACAGTGCCCTCCATAAATAAGTAAAAAATTACAAAATAAAACAAATTCAGACTTCAGAGAAATAATTGTATAACCCCATCCTAAAATGCTGACCAGGAGTTGTTAAAAAGAAATAGTAAAACAGAATTGCATAGAAGTACGCTAAAAAGATTTAAATTTAAATTTTTGACAAATATTAGCTTTATACCATACTAGCTTGGGAACCCAGCTCTGCCAAGGTTGCTAAAAGTTACCCGCACCCGTTCACGGAAAAAGTAAATTTTCGCTATTATAATTAATGTCGACCCAATCTTGAACTAGAATCTCAAAACCAAGCTAAACACATTCCCGTGGGCCTCCTGAGTTACCCAATCAAAATTTGTGGCAAATCGGTCCAGGGGTTCCTGTGTTATGATCGGACAAACAAACAAACAGAGAATATATATATATATATATATATATATAATCTATATATAATATAGATGTATGGGCCTAGTTATTTAAAAGAACGTCCTCGGTCTGTTATAGGTTTAAATACCCTATTTAAATGGCCCTGGGCTCTGACTGATTTTATCATGTTATAGATCCAAAAAAAGACGACATGGTTCAAATAACAGGAAGTCACGTGGTAAAGAATTAGACAGGTAAGGAATCGAGTCTTTGCCACAAACTCTTAATTTCTAATCCCTATATTTTTGCAATCCAATTGGCAATGTCATAGACCTTTAATATGAGTTCTGGAAGATCAAGTAATATAAGTTTGAAACATCAAAAGTTTGCATCATCAGGTTTAAAAAACAGGGATTAGTAAATTTTAGTTTGGTAAAACTCGAATTTTTAAAAAAAGATCGTTTCTTTATGAAAACGACGATGAAAAATTTAAAACGAAACGAGCGTTTTTAAAACGATCGTTGTTTCTTCAACAACGACCCTTTGTCAACAATCGTAAACGAAGAGAGGAAATTCTGACCTGAAGGGCATCTGTACTTATCATTGAGAAGTGTTTAAGAAAATATCAATAAGTTTTAGCTCCCTCATTACTTTTTAACTTCATGTAAGACGACATTCAATAAAGTTGCATATAATTTTTTTTCAAAAACGATCATTTTTACAAAAACGACCATTTTTAGAAAGTTTGTTGTTTTGTTAACGATTGTTAACATAATTGTCAATAAAGCTGTTTTTCTTAAAACGATCGTTTTTTTAAAAGCGATCGCCGATCTTTTTTAAAAACAATCGTATAAAAAATGGTCACAAATCCTTTTAAAAAAAGCGATCGTTTTCTTAAACTATCGTTATTCTTTTTCTAAAAGTTCAAGTGAGAAAAAGATCTTTTTTCCTAAATAAAATGATCATTTTTAAAAACTATTGAAAAACTAAACAAAAGTTGACCGTTTTGAAAACAATTAACAACCCTACACAATAATACACATGTGCAAACATTCCAGAGTTCAGATATAGAGTTTCATGAAAGGAAAGCAAGATCCTCAGCTAGTTCAATTAAAGACAGGGTTCAGAAAAAAACAAGATCCTTGAAAAATAGTTCTTTCTTGTAAAATGGCGAACTACAAGGACATCCCAAAAAAAAATCTTTTCTTTTTATTTTCAAAATTAGCCGAAATATGAATGAAAGATGTACAAACAAGAAGAAAATGAAGAACAAGAATATAAAAATCTCAAAATATTTCCATCGAATATTATATGAATATTTAAAATATTGTAAATCTTAATTAAAATAAACTATTAAAGTTAAAATAAGAGGGGTATTATTTTTAGGGAAAAAAACACTCCTGAGCACAGTGAATCATCGCCATCACACTTTTTAAATTTATGATTATTTAATAATAAAGAAAACTCAATAATAGAAACTTACATTTTGGTTTTTCAATTCCTAAAGTTTGGTTTTATTTAGAAGAAAAAGACGGAAAGGCAGTCGGGAATCTGCTTCATCCTCTAAACCAGCTGCTCCTGTAGTGCAGATATGGTATTTTAATCTTCTTTTCGCAGATTTTTGTTCGGGGATTTTTTTCCGCGGTACCTTTGTGAATCGTTCAGGGATCTTAAATGGAGGGTCACTTGAAATTACAATGACAGTTCCTTAGACTTAGAACATTTACATCATCGCATATAATTTTTTTTCTCCAAAATATTTTCTTATGTTTCATCTTTTTGATTATATTCTTAGCAATGTTTATTGATTGTGTTAGGTACTTTCCCAAAGGTCTTTTTCCAAGACTACTTTCCCAAGTGACAATTTCCAAGTGACATTTTCCCAAGTGGCAAATTCGAAAAGGTGTGATCTTCCAATCGGCAACTTCTAAAATGAACATTTTAGGTTAGGTTCGATCTTCTTAGGCGCCGCAGGCTGCATTTTTTTTGTTTGGGGGGGGGGAGGGGATGGGGAGACGGGCGAGTACTGCGGCTAGAACAGATTCGGAAAGTTGTCGCTTGGCAAATCCCACTTTTTGGAAGTTGCTACTTGGGAAAATGTCCGAAATTTCCATTTGGGAAAATGCATCTTGATAACTTTATATCTTATTTTGATAACATATGTTCTGTTAAGCCATTGGTTACTTCTTTTCTGATTACAGGAATTGCTAATTTTTCTCCTGTTTTTACTAATATTCTAGTGGAGTGTCAGAGAGTTCAGACGATGACATCATAGCATTGGAGGATTTACCTTCTCGCCCCGCGGCCGCTCCTGAGGTAGTCCTACCAGCTCAAGCTAGGTTAGTTCAGATGCCATTTTAATTTTTTTAAATCCATCCCTTGCGAACACAAAGTTTTATCATTCCACGTTCAATTTGACCGTCTTCATTTTATGTTCTGCATAATCATGCTGCTTTTTACATTTTTAAAGATCGGTGACAGCCAATTTAAATTATTTCCTCGTGAAAAAGGTAAATCATAAAATTCTGTTAGAATTTCTGATTTTTTTGGTTCTCAGCTGAAAGCTTTAATTTTTCAATGCCGTTAAACTTTCTTGAGTTTCTTTAGATGCAAAAAGAAAAAATCTATTCTATTTTATAAATGTTTTAAGCTAACTATTTAAATTCTTTAGTTGTCCATGAGTATTGTAATCTTAATTCTGATTGATTGATGTCGTCCTAGTGAAGTATAAATTAACATGTGATGAAATTTTAAATTAATTTTGGATTTTCTTCTTTGAAATCTGAGGGGAAAATAAATGAATTTATGGATGTGAAGTATAGTACAGGGTTAGTATTACCCTGAAAAGGCGAGACTGGAAAAACGACTTAAAGCTCTTAAAATCAGACATCAGAGCTGAAAACTTTAGAATGAGATATACCTAATCTCGATTACTTTATCTGAGTATCCAATGGACACACTTTTGATTTTCTTCTTAAACCGTTCTTTCTTGGATATAGTAGAGAAAAATCAAAAACCGGTTTTCAAAATTAGAGAGTTCCTCTCGTTTCTGTATATTAATCTTAAATGGCGCGCAAAATTTCAAATTTATCGGCTTCATATACGCGACTCTGATTGGTTGAATTTTATACACTTTTTATGATAAAAGAACAAGATTAGGTTAGTCTCGATATTAAGAAAAAGAGAGGATCAAACATTAATCTCAATATTCACCATTGTAAAGTTTTCAGCTCAGTTTAATTCAGTATTCTGCCTTTAATGTACTCTATACATGGTTTATGTAATGATTTGGCAAAGAAACAAAAATACAATATAAATTCCGTATAGTCGTTTCATCCTTTGTCTAGCTGTAACCAAACCAAAGGATGAAAGAAAATCTTGTCTTTGGATTTTATACTTTTCGTTTTTACAATTCATCATTTTCTTTATAGTAAAAATTACTCCCAAATCTAAAAGTATCGCGTTGAGTATGTACGATGTTTATTTTTAGTTTAAAAATCCATGTAAGGCATATTATTTGAAATTCATTTGGAAGGTTTGCGCGAAAAAACTGATCACAACTTGATTTTATTTTAAGAAGTTTATAAAAGGGGAAAAACTCACTTTATGTTTATTTTTTTATTCATTTAAATATGTTAAATGTTTTTGTAATATATATTTATGACTCCTAATATTTAGACCAGAGAAGCAAGTTCCCGGTGGGCAAAACACGATGGCAAAGGCAGGTAATGGCGCCAACTTTCCAGTTGGACAGCCTGGTAGGCCACGCCCTGGCTCAGCTCTCAGGGGGGAGGAGGAGCAGCAGGTGGAGAATCTTGTTTCTCTACCCATCCCTCTTCCTGGACCAGGAGATAAAGTGGTTTCAGTTGATGTAGAACCAGGTGAAACCTTTTTGCAGGCATCCCCCAAAAGATTAACTAAGAAAGAAAAAATCCGCATGATTATTTGTGAGATATACAGAAAACTAATATTTAAAGTTTCTATACGTTTTATACATTTTTTGAGAAAGACAGCTCAGGGGTGTTAATAAGTTCTAAAACCCATATTTCTAACCCCCCACCGGGCCACCCCTTCCCCCTTTTTCCATTTTTATTTCATATTTTTTTTATATTTTTATTCAACTAAAAAGCAAGGGATAATACAAATAAAAAATCAATGTATTTTCTATGTATTTTCCCATCAACCCCTTAACAAGCTCATATGAAAAATGAAAAAAAATAATAATACATACCCTGAGAAAGCTACGAGTTTTTGAATAATTTTGAATATTTTTTTGTATTTTCCAGTTTTTTTAGGGGGATAAGAAAATTTCCATTGTTCCTCATGTAACAAAATTTAAAAGCCGCCTATATACAGTTAGTTCTTAGAAATATAAATATATTCAATACTCAATGTGTTATTCAATCAAAAAACAGATAAATAATAAATTTAATAATAAATTGAATAATAAATTGAATAATAAATTGAATAATAAATTGAATAATAAATTGAGTATTCAACCTCTGCTTACCTAAGTATCGAGAACTCTGGTACACCTGGAATATCTGGAAAAAATATTTGATATATATTTAGGAGCTCCAGTTAACCGTAACGACCAGTTGCGAGGTGGATCAAGAGTAGAGATAAAGGCAGAACTACTTGCCTTGAAGGAACTAGAAGGTTCTGCTTCAACTGTTCAGGCAGCGATAAATCAATCAATTAATAAAATCAATCAATCAATCAGTCGATTGTTTAGGTTTAATGGATAAAGCCCTGAAGGGTTAATGATGTTTATTATTTATATAAATAAGATCTGACACTCGTGGGTAAGTATAATAACATCTTAAATTATTTGGGTAAGTTTTCATTTGTTTAAGAATGAAAATTACCTCACAGATAATGTTAAAATGTGTTTTTGTCCTAGGAACTTCCTTCATCACAACAACCTTATCCAAAATACCTTTATAAAATATTATGTTAAGAAGCATATTTATGTTGATATGTTTGCAAAAAGAACAGGTATGGTTCCAGGATCTTCAGGTTGCTTGCGGGGAATTATGGTTTTCGGAGACTATTTATAGAATATCTGGTGTTCAATTTTTTATCTCCCTGTCTTTTTATACGACCAGGGAGTTGAAATATATGAATGATTTCTATTCTGACGTAAATACTTGTTTTATAAACCACGTCAGGACTCATGAGGAACAAGGAAATCATTATAAAGTAACTAAACTTATTTTTATAAACTCGAACAAGTTTTGTAATTCTCAATTCCTTTAATATGGAGTGTGGGCGTTTTAACGATTAGTAATTATTCTAGAAATTAATTATTTCTGAATTCCAAACAGGATTATCTCGATCACTTGACAAAGGATATCGTTTGATGGTACGAAACTGGGGGTTTGAAACTGGATCCACGGGTTCCGCTACATTTTAGCCCCATTGATTCCCATCCGGACCTGTATGAATTTGCAGATTCACAGACCCGGATTTTTAGAAACATGAACCACGGAACATCAAGATTGTTCTCCTCTTACAAAGCACATTTCAAGCACCAAAGTATGCAAGATCAATGAAACTTTGGTTATCACAACTTCCAAAGTCTAGAGATGGACGCATTAGGGTTTTTTATTCAAACATTTTTTTCTAAATAAGCGTTCGTTTAGTAAAAACGAGAGTTTGTTCAGCAGTTTCTTTAAAAAATTGTTCGTTTAGTAAAAAATCATAGTTTTTTTGTAATCTTTTGGATATATTAAAACAATAGTTTTTTTCAAGTTCGTTTTATTTATTTTTTTCGTAAACTATCGTTTTTTTATTTCTTTGAATGATCTGAGTTGTTCGCCCGACGTTCGTTTAATTCTGAACGACAACATCTTTCACAAAACATTTCGTTCGTCCACAAAATTGATGCCCATACATATTTATCATAAATAATAGCATTCTTTAAATTGAGGGTCATTTGAAACTAGTTGATTGAAGTTTCAGGCCCTGTCAATTTTAACTGAGTCTACAGTGTTAGTAAAGATCAAATCTTAAGAAATCTTGCAGATTTAATTTTTTACCCTTGGATGTTAAAAAATGAAAAGTTTTTTATTTAATTTTTCATTGTTTTATATTTCTTTTTATTTAAAATGGTAGCTTGGGAACCAGCTTTGCCTTGAAATTTTAACCTTTCCTACAAAAATCGACCAAGTCATTTGTTATCTTTCAACCATGCTAAGAACAGGTTTGAGACAAATCGGTGAGGAGCTTCATAAGCTATGATCGAGGACAAGCAGAGAAAAAATGTTGTTTTTAACTTTACCCCCGTTGGTATCAAATTCTTAAATACAATTTTTATACAGAGTTACCCAGAAAAGAATGAGACTGTGAAGAGTGAAGACGACTTGAAACTTTAAATATAGAACGATCCCAAGGCCGGCTAAGTTAAGTCTTCTGACTAGCAAAAATTTTGTAATGGCTGAAAAAAAATATTTGGCGAAAAAGGACACACTTTAACTATTGCGGGTATCAGGAATATTAGGAAACAGACGGTATAAATTTCCTTACAGTCGTCTCTGAAGTCTAATCTGTTGTAGGTTACTCTTTAAGTTTCGTATCTAAACAAATCTAAAATGAAGACTAAAATATCCTTATTTTCCCGTACGAAGAACAGGGGGAAAACCAAAGATAGGAAAAGGTGAAGTTACCATTAACTACAGTGTGAATTTATCTTCCCCTAAGATTACTTCTTCTCGATATGCAGAACATAAAGGGATTCTATCAAAAAAACAGGACAAGTAGTTTCTATTTTGTTTAGTTTCCTATTTGTCTAGTTTTCCAGTACTTGTGTACATTTCAACTTTCCTTTTTTGTTTAAATGTTTACTTTATTTTTGTTTTATTGTCTAGTCGTCTTTTTGTGTGGTTTACTAGTTTCCTATTTGTGCAGTTGTCTAGTTTCCTAGTTGTGTGGTTGACTAGTTTCCTATTCGTGTAGTTGTCTAGTTTCCAAGTTGTGTGGTTGCCTAGTTTCCTATCTGTGCAGTTGTCTAGTTTCCTAGTTGTGTGGTTGACTAGCTTCCTATTTGTGTAGTTGTCTAGTTTCCTATTTGTGTGGTTGCCTACTTTCCTATTTGTGTAGTTGTCTAGTTTCCAAGTTGTGTGGTTGACTAGTTTCCTATTTGTGTAGTTGTTGAGCTTCCTAATTGTGTAGTTGACTAGTTTCCTATTTGTGTAGTTGACTAGTTTCCTATATGTGTAGTTGTCTAGTTTCCTATTTGTCTAGTTGTCTAATGTTGTATTTATAAAATTGTCTATTTTCTATTTGTCTAGTTTTCAAGTTTCTTATTTGTTTTTTTGTCTAACTTCGTATTTGTAGAGTTGTCTGTTTTTCTATTTGCGTAGTTGTCTAATTTCCTATTTGCTTATTTGTCTAGTTTCCTATTTGTTTAATTGCCTAGTTTCCTATTTGTGTAGTTGTCTACTTTTCTATCTGTGTAGTTGTCAAGATTCCTATATCCTATTTGTTGAGATATCTAGTTCCGTTTAGTGTAGCTGTGTAGTTTCCTATTTGTGTAGTTGTCAAGTTTCCTATTTGTGTATTTGTCTAGTTTTCTATTTGTGCAGTTGTCAAGTTTCCTATTTGCGCAGTTGTCAAGTTTCCTTTTTGTGTAGTTGTCTAGTTTACTATTTGTGTAGTTGTCAAGTTTCGAATTCGTTTAATTGTCTGGTTTCCTGGGTAGTTGTGAAGTCACTATTTGTGTAGTTGTCTAGTTTCTTAATTGTATAGTTGTCTAGTTTCCTATTTATGTAGTTGCCTATAAGCTTCTTATTTGTGTGATTGTCAAGTTTCGAATTCGTTTAATTGTGTGGTTTCCTGGGTAGTTGTTACGTTTAATATTTGTGTAGTTGTCTAGTTTCTTAATTGTGAAGTTGTTAAGTTTCTTAATTGTGTAGTTGTCTAGTTTCCTATTTATGTACTTGTCTATTTTCCTATTTGTGTATTTGTCTAGTTTCCTATTTGCCTAGTTGTCAAGTTTCCTATTGGTGTAGTTGTCTAGTTTCCTATTTTTGTATTTGTTTAGGAAACCCGCCTTAAGTAAAAATTTGTATTTCCCGAAAAGTAGTTGTTCACAATTTATCGTCTTTAAAGATGAAAATGCTCCAATTTGTTAACAAAACTTTGCAGAGCGGGTCGTTAATTTACTTTATAGTCCCAAGGGACGCTAGGTAACTTAACGTTCCTCTGTTAGGGGAATAATGGGACTGATAGTGTTTGTCAAAGGCGGTGAAACATTTTATTCAATTAATTATCCAAACGTTATTAAGGAGTATTAGTTCGTTCTAATAAATTAAAAATTATCCCCTCAGTGATTTTTAAATTAAAAACAGAATTTCTCGACAATTTTCTTTGTTAAAGGAACAATGTTCAGAAGAGACGTGCAGGGTTAAATTCAACCTACGTAGTTCAAATACATCTTCGATTTATAAAATCTGGGACGGAATTTAATTAATTGGAGCTAGGTGGCTGAACTACCTAACGTTGGTTCAAACTTAAATCACTTTCACCAATTCAGAATTCAAGATTCATGATGATTACATCGGATTTGAACCGGCAGTAGGTAGTCAAGCAATCTCTCCAATTAATTAAATTCCATCTCTGATCACTGGATCACTAACCAAGGGGAGGATTGTGATGTTTTATCTAAATTGTCCTAAAAATGTATTGATTTGTGTGCGTCCAGTGGAAAGGTTTCTGTGTATCCTGTGGAGCACGAGGAAGTACAGAACACTATGACGTGCACAACAAGTGCAAGAAGCTGCTTTCCTGGGAGAAGAAGGGGTTCAAGGTAAGCATAAAGCGACTATGAAAGTTTTAAATGAAATTTTTTTTAAAAATGAAGATATGAACTCAAATTTAAATAGCCGGAAACAAGAAAAGTTAGGAAAGATATTACCTACCGTAATACAGGCTCAATGTGTAATTAAAATCTAGAATAAAACATATTTTTCCTAAAAAAATGAGGAAAATGCTAGAATACAGGGTGTCCCACATCATATTAGACCGAGAACGGGTCTAAATTACGATTTTCGGAACTAATTAGAAAATGTCATTAGAATGAATCATTTTGAAAAATAACTTAAGGCTTATATAAGAATTTTCTTGCGGAAAATGATAAGTTTTTCGAGTATTAAGGGTTTATTTTGGTGTTAAAGATTGGAGATAATCTAATATGATATGGGACGCTCTTTATATTGATATATTTTTTGGTTAATAACTTTTAAAAATACATTTTTAGACTAATCTGATTTTATGCTAAAAAACAAGGTGTGACTGCAAAAAACTTAAATTTGAAAATATTTTATTTCATTATGCAATTTTTAAAATGAATTTTTAACTTCTACAAATATAAAATCATTTGAAGTTTAAATGAAATTAAAATACTCGAAACTATGTTTTTAATAATTAGTCTTACTTTGGTGGTTGGCGATTATATCAATATAATAAGAAACTACTTTAATCTAATTTTGATTTATATCATGCTTTTAAACAGCATGAATACACAAAAACATGGAAGCATAGAGAAGCTGTTAAGTAAGACAGCTTCTCTTTAATTAATTGTAAACTTTAATTCGAAAAAAAGCTTGTTAACAATAAAAACTTAATTAAAAAGTCGTCCTCATTCCTCATCTAGGTATATGCTTTGCTTGTCTGTTTGTATCCAATAATCGTCAGAACGGCTAAACCAATTGGACCTTGTAGGACCTTGTGCGACCCCAGGGAAAGTCTATGGATAATCGAATTTTAATAACTTTGCCTCTTAATAAAATTCAATTAATGAAAATTTTGAATATCCATGAAATTAGTTTGTAAAATCCGTAAACTATTCTTACTTTTTTTTATTTTACAATGTATTCAAGAAGAAAATATTCACAATTAAAATAGGAGATGGGCGCAAAGCATACTAAAAGCCTAGTATTGATATAATAGCCAACCACCGTACATTTAATTTTTCTGCAATGCATTTATCTTTGTTTTGTTGTATTGTAGGCCAACTGTAAATATTGTAATGAGAATACACACTGGGTGGATGGATGTCCTTATCTTGCCTCATTCTGCTTCCGGTAAATATAGTTTGTAAAGAAAACATCCTCTTTGGGGTCAAATCAGATAACCTGTCCAGTTCCCACCCCACACCCTCCAAATTCTTCCGGTAAATATAGTTTGTAAAGACAACATCATCTTTGGGGTCAAATCAGACATCCTCCAAATTCTTACAGTAATGGATAAATTTTGTTCGACCAGAACATAAATTATTAAATAATAAAATTATTAAAAGGAGTACGAAATAGAAGGGAGATACAACTGACGCGGCCCGCCCTACCATATGATTATACATGCTTTACAGACGGGTACTCCATTTGTATAAGAAATATTTAGAATAGGTTATTGTATACGCGGTAATTGTACATCAGACATATATTTCTTATACAAATAAAGTACCGTCTGCAAAGCATGTATAATCATATGGTAGGGCGGGCCACGTCAGTTATATCTCCCTTCTATTTCATACTCCTTGGTAAAGGGTAGGATACAAATTCTTTCAAAATGAAATTGAATACTTTCCATTTTTTTAATCAATTTTATTTTTGTTTTCACTTTTGTTTTATTTTCTGAAATATATAGCTGTTGGTGCTGGGGTCACATGGATGCCTGCCATGCCAAGTTTGATGATGAATTTATTAACTCTCTGAAGGAGTCTTATTCACAGCACAGGTAAATAAATATAAACTCATGTTTTGAAAATAATCTAATTTATAGTAGTAATCTCTTTTTGTCTGTCTGTTAGAATATGTAATCATAATTGATAAAACCATTGATATATTTGCCTCAAATTTTATTGAGGACTAGCTTGGGAACCCGCTGCCGTCCAGGTTTTTCATTGTTAATCCCACCGTTTACCCGCACTTAGTCGACTAAATTTTTGCTATAAAAGTCGACCTACTAAATTTATAACATAACTTAAACCAGACTTAGAATATTTCCGCGGTTTTCCCGAGTTTCCCAATCAAATTGAGGCAAATCGGTCAAGTGGTTTCTGAGTTATGATCGGACGAACGGTCACCCAACCAAACAAATATTACTTATTTATATTTATAGATATATAGTTTCCATAAAAAGTATAATTTGAAATGACCGTCCATGCATTAAGATGACAATTCCTGATTTACAATGGTAACCTTGAAACCTTAATCTCATCAAAAATGTGGAAAATCTATCGTTTTGCTCAAAAAGTGTTTAATTCAGATAATATCTCCATTGCTTCTTATAACAAGAAATTGGCTAGTACTTTCGCAAAAAACCGCAAGTGAAAAAGTTTCAACTCACAAAAACATAGTTCTAATTTATACCTGATGAGACAAAACTTAAAGGTTACTGATGTAAATATGGAATTGTCATCTTTGCATGGATTATGGAATTATACTTACAGTTCCTTTAACGCTTCGATTCAGGTTGATGTTTCATTCCGCCACCAAGGAACACATTCCTCCGGCCAACCTGAAGAAGGGAGATGGATGGATATACCAGGGAACCAGAGCTGATCTAGTTTCATATGCAGAGAATATTCAACCTGAGGGAACCTTTCAACCTTGGCTCAATATCAACTGGGGATAGTTTCCTCAATCACCTATCAATCAATCAGTCAATCAATTAATCAATATAGCATTGATCATAGAGATGTTCTGGTTTGGAAAAAAGATTAAAACCAAAGAAACTCTTTGGTCAACATCTAAAACAACAAGATACATTCTTTAAATATTTTAATATACAATAAATGAAATTTATTTTAAATATTGTTTCATAAAAGTTAGCATTGAATAATAATTCAGTAGTTCAACATTAGCCTAACATTTAATGTTTCTTAATTCTATGTTTTTAAGCACTATTCATTCGGAAATTTTTTTTATAAATCATATCATTTTTCATTCAGCCTAAAAAAACTTTAAAAGTTTTTAAAAAAGTGCTTGCTCTAAACAAATATCTAAAAGATATTACTTTGCTTTGCTGCATCTAAACCCCCCATATAACCATATTGAAGGATTTTTTTAAGGCTCATTTAATACATAAACAACTTTTTTTGGAAGAATGGTCTAAGGGGGAAAAAAAAACAAATTAAGCAAAAGGTAATTAGGTAGATAAGAATATAAGGGGAAAAGTAAAAAAATTGAAAATTAAAATTTATTTTTCTGTCTATTTTAAATTTCTTACTACATTATAAATTGAGTGTGATTTAAAATTTAGTTTTTTTAAAATTTTCTCTACATTTTGGTTTTACATTTTGTTTGTATTGTTTCAGTTTCTTTGAAAATATTGTAAAAATTATCCATTTTTCAGAGAATTAATTAAAACTGTGAAATAAGAATAGTAATTGTTTTACATAACCTGTATTGATGAATTAAAAATATAAGTTTTTTAGATGAAATATGAAATATGAAAGCTACCTTCTTATTCGTTTTTAGATATTAATCCCAAAGGACAGGGGTGTATATTTTTAAAAATTGCTCTCCTCCCTGGGGAGGGGGGGGGATGGAAAATAGGACATTATCCTTTTTAAATCCGGGATTTTATTGCAAACAAGTCCGGGATTATATTGCAAGTAAAGTCGGAATTTTATTGATCCGGGATTTTATTGCGTGTTTTGGATTTCATTGCAAGTAAATGCGGGATTTTATTGCAAGTAAAGCCGGAATTTATTGATCCGGGATTTTATTGCGTGTAAATTCGAGATTTTATTGCGTTTAAATCCGGGATTTCATTGCAAGTAAACCGGGATTTTATTACGAGTAAATCCGGGATTTTATTGCAAGGAGATTCGGGATTTTATTGCGAGTAAATCCGAGATTTTATTGCAAGTAAATCCGGGATTTTATTGAGTGTCAATCCGGGATTTTATAGCGAGTAAATCCGGGATTTTAATGCGAGTAATTCCAAGACTCTGGCCAAGGAAAAAACTTCTGGAGGTGTCATTGAAGAAATCGTCTTAAAATTTGTTTAAGATGAGAATTAACCCTCTGTCGCCGCAATAATTGGAAGAATTTTGTTTTTGTAGATATTGCGAAATCACAGATCTCAGAATAAGATCGAAACATTTAGGTAAAAACTTAACTAACGAAGACGACATCCGAACAAAAAGGCCAAAATAATTATTATTTGAATTGTATTTTACAAAGTAGAAATTCCCTCTGTCATAAGTTGAATTTTGTTTAAACCACGAACAATCCCTTTATGTTCATAAAACTGAATATGACTGATTATGTGCACCTAACACCCCCCCCCCCCCCCCCCCCCCCCCAATTGTGATATCCTTTTTTCACACGCAAAAAGTTATATATTAACAAATTACAAGTAACATTTTCAAAAGAAAAAGTGGAAACATTTAAAACTCTTTCAGTAATTAACGATTTTAAACAGCGAAGAAATAATATCCTTTGAACTTAATATTTCATACATATTTATCGCTAAATTTAATTTATCTATCCTTAAAATAGAAATATCATCAGTATGAACATAAACGTGTCATTGCCCACAGATCCTAGAAAAATGATCAGATTAAGAAAAATACATTGTATCACTTATTAAGGACATAAGTGATAGTCGCCCATAGGCCTCTTCCCAAAATCGAAAAAGTGCAAAATAGTTTCACCTTATACTTATAAAAATAAAATCGTGTCGTGATGATGGTAGTTTTAGTACCTTGTTATTTAACTTGTATATATTTTCTTTTTATAAGTCTATGCTCTCTTTCTTTCAAATTAAACGTGTTATTGATAAATAAATACGGAATTTAAACATATTCTTTTCAATACTGATTGAAACGTTCACAACAGTGTGGAACAGCTTTTCGCGACTATATATGACACAGTCAAACCCTAAATTAGCCATAAAAGCGAAAGATTTAATCAAATTTCGTATTCTTCACTTTCTGATAATGGAATGTTGGAGAAATTTAGTATTTTTAATTAAATGATTATATGGAGCTCTTTAAAACTGTTCCCGCATATTCAATGAATTATTCATGGCTATCTATATTCATGCTATGTATATTCGCCAATACTGAGATTTACGTAAAATAGTAAAAAAACATTGAAAAATTGTCAAGACGACATTTGAAAAATTCTTTCGATGTATGGCTCAATTAGGGTTTAATTTTTTTTATTCAATATTTTATATACCACGCATCGGGGTATGATAGTATTTTCGCTAAAATATCAAAAAAAAATTAAGATTTCTACAACAGTATGAGTATATGCTTTGAATGCATCCTTTACATCTGTATATGAACTTGTATATTTACCGCAAAAAAAAGGGTGCGTACCGCTAAAGATGACATTTTTTGCCTAGTAAAAACAGTTAAAAGCTAATATTGTCAATGGGTAGCAAATCGCCCTAAAAGTAAAGTTTTAATAGAAGTCACAACTCGCAAACTAAAATGTGGACATTTCATACAATCTACTGCAATTGTGATAATTTCTACCAAAAATGTAGAAAATGCGAGACATACATTTCATTTGTCAATTTGATATACTTTCTTTACAAACACATGTTTTCTTCATACCATGATACCAAAATAAAAACTATTTCAGGTTTTGTTTGAGACAAAATTGAAACATTTTCTTTCTTAAGAAACTTTCAGAAGCTCTTAAAAGAGAAGCATTGCGGACGGAAATGGAGCGGAAACGTTGACAAAAGCTTAAAATTGTCCAATATCCGGGTCAGTTATATAATGATCCAAAGTACTTCCGTTAACTTAAAAGATTTATTAAGAAAATGAATGGTTAAGCAGAGCACATTTATTTAGTAATAATATTAATAAGAAATATTGTTCCATTGTTACAATTTTAGTTGATTCAACAGAATATTTGCCAAGAAGAGGGAAAAGGCTAAATAAATGTCTGTTTGAAAACACAGTCAACTTACTTGAATGCATAAAAGATTATAAAAAATCTAGTAAAATGATCAAAATTAATTAAAAATAGTTTATAATCGCATTAACTTAAACCGTTTGCAGAAGATAATAATACATTAGCATGAATCATCTTTTTAAACTTAAATTGTTTATAAGAGCCAATTTATATGCAAAAGTTCTTGTGACTAATAGAGAAAAAAAAACAATACATGCATATGTAGAAAGGCTAATACAGTGATAAAGCTTTAATTTAAATCAATTTTTTAGTATCTTGCAATACAAGCTGCCCATTTTACTTATTATTTACAACTACTTTACAGGGAAGTTCAGGGAATTTAATTTTACCAAGGGTTCCCAAAATTGCTCGAGGGAACCTGTGGTTAAGTGAAATTTTTAATTTCCCGAAAAAGTAGTTAAAGGCAATTTTATCGTCTTTTGATATGAAAATGCGCAAATTCCCCCCCCCCCCCGAAAAACGGGTGATTATTTTACAGAACAGTCCTTAGGGACGTTAAGTAACCTAACCTCCCTCTTTCGGAGAAAAAATAGGTCGGTAATATAGGACAAAAGGCGGTAAAATATGTAAAAGCAGTTTCCAATTGTTAGGTCCGCCATTTTGTCCAGATTATGCAAACCTATATTTCTTCAATTCCAAGGTTACGTCGTCTTCGAAAGCTTTCATGAACTCCTGAACATGCGCAGATTCCACATCTCTGAAAAAAAAAACAGGAAAAAGTGCTAACAAGTAGATAATAAGAATGAGCTTGAACTACAATGAGAGCCAGAAAACCGTGGGAAAAGAAGACGACTTTAATAATGATAATTAAGTATATGTGATGTTGTTAAACAAGCAAATTGTTTTAGCAATAGCTTTAGAGGGGATGGTGGAGTTGGCACATTTGATGTAGGGGGGGGGGCCCTGCCTTCATTTTTGGTTCAAATCTTCCAATTTTTTGGGTGCACGCCTAATTAGTGATCGAAATTCCTAAAATAAAATCAAATTGAATTTTAATGACCTCTAATGACCTCTAATGACCTCTAATGACCTCCAGAAATAGAAAATATTTCAACTATGGCTTTATGCACATCAAACGAAAGCTAGGGACCCAGGGAATACAGTAGCAGCAAAAAATCCAGTGTTTGACCTTCTAATGACCTCTTACGACCTCTNAAATTCAATTTGATTTTATTTTAGGAATTTCGATCACTAATTAGGCGTGCACCCAAAAAATTGGAAGATTTGAACCAAAAATGAAGGCGGGCCCCCCCCCCCTACATCAAATGTGCCAACTCCACCATCCCCTTTTTAAATTATTTATAGTGACATAGGTCTGTTTGCACTGCACAATTGTTGTGTCTAATGTTCATTGGACTTTTTAAAGTCATACAATTTATGCTAAAAGAACTTTTAACAATATTTGTACTTGTTCTTATTTCTCATAACACAAGGTTTAAGAGGTCACTGACTGAATGAAGACCAGGGGTAAAAAAAAAATCCACTAGAAAAGAGATAATTTTGACTTCCAGGGGAAATTTATGTCCAACGTGTATTTCTAGCTCCATCCCGGTGGGATTAGAAATGGAATTATATAGACAACCTTCATTCCGTTTTACTAGTCATCAATTTGAATAATTAAGAATAAAAACAAAAAGCATTAATTAATTAAAACTGGTTAATTTTGAAAATAAGAAGTAAAATGATTGTAACAATTTCAAATAACAAATTAGAATATTTTTTTAAAGATATCTTAAAGACTAATTCTTGGGAACCCAGTGCAGCGTTGCCTAGGTTTCTCATAATAATAGTTACGCCTGCCGTATACTCGCGCTTAGTCGTAAATTACGATTTAGCCATTTTTCTCTATAAAAGTGAACTTACTTATAA